AACCGGCCTGAGCGCGAGTCGTGATATCGACGCCTGAGTAGAAGAGCTTCCATTAATTGAGGTTCAGGAGTCCAGAGCCTTAGGGCTTCGTCGACGAGAGTCCAAAAATGTCGTGTTGTTATTTTATGGTCTCATCTACTTACTCTTGTTCTTTCCCTCTGAGTGGAGATATATCGCAATTTCCGACTGGTAGCTCCCACTGGCGGTGTCGTTCTCGAGCTTTTTCTGACGTTCTACATTTGCATCGTGCTGTCTGTCTTCTCTGTTCAGAACGGGTAGCGACTCAGTTGCTGACTGGTATCTACGTCAGTTGTTGCGATACCCTAGACTGCCGGAATACGATGGGCAGGTTCTAATAGCCGACTATTGACAGACTGCCTCATCTTCCCCCTCCCTCCCCCTCCCCAACGCCTGCGCTGTTCTCTGTAACCCGGAAGAGTATCGAGCCGGTAAAATGTTCTATGAGGTCAATATCATGAAGGTGAAGTGGCTATGCTTTATCGAGACTTAGCCACGATTTCCAACCCTCCTAGTTTCCCATCGGAGTATGGAGCCGGAAACGGCGGAGATTTTGACAGTTGTTCAATCAGGTGTCTCAAGTTGAATTGACTCTCTTCTGGTAGTATTTGCACAATTTCAGAGCAATTCCAGTGTTTTAGCCGCTGGCATGCGTTTGTTTGTGCATCCTACAATAAGGGTCGCCAAAGCGATTTATTGGTCTACTGTAGTTGCATTTATGCGCTGTTTTAGCCGCGTTGCAGATTTAAACAGTGAATGAATTTAATAGCGGAAGCGAAGTTTTGACCTATGTTTCACAGTGGAAGTGATACTGGTGTATTCGGCATGACTAAGAATCAGCTTTTAATACGAGACAGAACATAAATTATGGAAACAAACCTCTTTATTAAGAAAAGTCAAAAATTCTACTTGAAGCTAGCAGCTTTCTCCGCCGCGTAACGTGATCAGTTGGCTAGCAAATTATTTCTCACAATTTGTTGAAATTTACCTGACGAAATCAAGCGCGGCAACCAGTGGCTCTCGAATGATGCAGACTTGGTTTTCACATCACAGATATCCGACACTTTCAGCAGCGATTGTATTCTCAGTGCTAACAGAAATGAATAGCATCGAGTTTCTGCTCTGTGACGTTGTGCACTGAGACCACATTTTAGCCGGTATTGTAGCGGTTAGCGACGACCGGCTGTAAGGAACCGGTGGCAATTGGTTGCGGACTGCTACACCCCACCTTAGACGCGAGGCGAACAAAACAGCAAGCTATCGCCTGCCACAAAGGACCGAAAACGTGAGTCGAAAAAGGCGGAAACGCTTGCGTTTAACAAAATACCGGAAACTTGGGTCGTACAAAAGAGGAAGCGCTCGCCTCCAATGACGGTCCGGAAACGTGGGCCGAACAGAAAAGGGAACACTCGCCTTCCGCACGTCGTGAGACAAAGGTGCACGTTGCACGGGAATTGCAGCCAGCAGTTCAACGCGAATTGGTCTCCGAGGATGAACAATTAATTCTCAGGCTATAAAAAGGCCAGTCGGCGTTAGAACAGAGAGACCGTCATACACATATGAAGATCATTATATCTCGCGTAGGTTGCTGTTGTCATCCGTATGTGCACTGTGCTTGCAGGCAAAGCATTGTGACCAGATTTCGCGTCTTATTCTTTAGAAACTTCAGCCAGTTGCAATATATACATGGGGAGAGCGTCATGTTTGTATATAAATACCTCTATTATCGTGAGTTTTCTTCACTTCATGGCTACTCAATACTGCTGTTGTTGCGTATGGAATATACTATACTCTGTAATCTAAAACTAATTTTCGATACTGCCTTGTGTTTAAACATTTCTGTTACATGTTCGATTTCTTTGCTTTTTTTGCGCCAGTTGTATATTCTGCTGTAGTAGCCGTAACTGCGCTTGTATTGATAATCCAATGATGTTTCTCAACTGTTGAACATCTCACGCCTTTGTTTCAGATAAGGCACATATATTTGCGCTGCAAATCATGTTTATCAATGATGCCAGCTAAGCAATTAATTCATAATTTCATACCTTATCCATGAATTTAGCGATTTTGTCACTTATGCATGAAATTATATGCTTTTCTTATTCTGTTTATAGCTGAAAACAGACGCAAAACCGAAAGTAGAATCTGCTGTGAACCAACAACAGTTAGCAATACAGGGCAGACTGACAGGGAATGCAAAAAATGTCCTTATTCCTAACAGAAATGAAAAAACGTAAAGCAGAAAATGCGATTGACAGACATCAGCCGTCTATCGCTTCAGTACGACATCGTGCATCAAAAACATCTAAATGCGTACAGGAAATTACCAGCTGTTTCTAGAAAACTGTCCTTCAGATTTGACATTTTCAGTCGTTAATTTTCTCTCAACATTAAGTCAGCTCAGATCTCCCCTAAAATTAGAAATCCAAAAAGCATGGCTAAACCTAAGGTTGAAGAAATCCCCGTTATGTGGATAGAATACCCCTAAATGGTTAGTTAAATATGGAACAGCAGGAGCAAGACAGCGGTTTCACTCATTCTTTCGTAAAGAATGGGCACCACAACGTTTAACCGGAGAATGGAACTGTAGCATAGCTGATCTTGAGATTAATTTAATGAAAAAATGAAAAAATTTGGGCCCTTCAGTGTTCTTCGTATAACGCTGCTTTGATAATTAGAAGCCTTTGTCTTAAACCATCATGAACGGGTGATTTGACAGAAGAGCGTTCCAAATCAGCTAGGCTTTCGAAGTAATACAATTTCTCTTACTAAATTTTCACATGTCACGGCGCAATTTCACATGAAAAAGATTCGGTTACCTTGGTTCGCTAGTTTTATAAATTTGCCGCTGCATTTGATTCAGTACATAGTCAATCGAGAGATCTTCACAATACTATGGGATACACAGTACATAGTTTTCATGTTGGATCAGATATGTGCAGGAACCCAATCTGCGCTGAAGTGAATAACGACTGCTTGAATGGTGCCCTGTAAACCGTGAAATTCTTTATGAAAATATGCTTTGGCCTTTTCTATTCAGAACCATTCTATATTTTCTTCCATGAAATACTATTGATCATGACAAAGACGAGGGTTTCATTTGCGAGGAAAGGCATAAATTCCGCCAAAGTGCTTTTCAGTGTAAAATTGCATAGTAATTATATTTTTCCTAACAAGATACGTGATATTGATGTGTGAATGATTGACTTTCTTGAGATCGTTCTTTAACGAAGTGTAGCTGGTAACATTAAATACATTTAAGTACAGACCGTTCCGTTTGAATCGAGACTATGCTTATGTATCAAAAATGTTACTGTACTATAAATATTCGTTTCAACCTAGAAACCACGACGGTACGTTTCTTTAAGCGAAAGATTTGAAAATATGTTTATCAATTGTATGTAACTATACCGTTTTACATCAGACCATTAAAGATATTAGAACTGGCCATAATCTGAAGAAAATTTATTATAGATCTGGTAAACAATCAATCGGTTCAATGGCGGTTTGTTTGAATAGACGTCAAGCATCTTTGCCACGGAACGGTTGTCGATGTCGCAGTATTGCTTGGAGGTGACGAGTACAACGTTAAGTGGCGGCTGCTAATTTGGGAGGTGTGTAGTAAATGCTCTGCCAAGATGTCTGCCGCGACGTCGGATGGAGATGGGCCATCAGAAAGATGTGGAGGTGTCCCGCTTGCGTCCTACTGCATCCATCATTCATGTTGATAATGATAGCAGTTTTCACCGTAAACCTGATTTTCATTTTGTATGTCGTCGAGCTACCTGTGAAGGATCGTGAGGTACGCCAGGTGTAATCGCGTGACACTTGTCTATACCATTTCTTTAGGTACCGTTGAACGAAACTGGTTCAGTATTACCCAGCAGAGCCACTGAAGACTTGAAACATTACGAGATTGAATGCGAAGCAGGAGAGACTTTGCGTTATGCGCTCTCCAGGATGAAAAGTCACCAGTGCAAGCAAGAGGCTATCGGGGTCTTCTGCAAACATCGACAGGGCAAGCTGTACTCGAACTTCCTGAACGGAACCTGTCCTTTGCTCAGTACATGTAGACGTTTGACTTATGTGACCATTCGCTGTTAATACCCTTTGTTCAATTCATAAATGCCATATCTATTGAGGAACAGATCTAACGGAAAGATTTTGAGATACCTCGGAGGTAAATGTTTGAGATTCGTCCAGTTCTAAATACGCATAACTGCACAGTCTGAATTTCTCTCTCTCCTGAAAAAGGAAAGTTTATCACCCAAATGCTACTGTACCATTAACCAATCTTAACCATATAATAGCAGGCCTCCGCGGGTGTATCTTGGCAGATAAATGCAATATGTTGGTTTATTACTACTTGAATAGGAGCATAAGGGTGCTTGTTTTTAAGCATATAAATAAATGTACTCAGTGCAAAATAATATTGGAAGAATGAGAGAGATTGGTACAGAACATATAAGATACCCGATAGATACAGATGTAGTATAACTGATAAACGGTAACCTATCGATATTGAATAGAGTGGGAGAAAATTAGGAAAATTAATTAATAACAAAACACGGAAACTTGATTGCCCACCTGACGTTATTGGTGCATTTTACGTTATTGGTGGTTGCAGGTGCAACGCTACGTTATTGGTGCATTTCATTTAGCAGATCATCCTACGAGAAGAAAATCTAGTAATACTATGGGATGCCCTAGCACATCGATTCCATTTTGGAAGAAATGTATTTGAGAACCATATTTATTGTTAAGGTCAAAGGAGAGCTGTTTGATTTGTTTCTGTTAACTATGGAGTTCACCAAGGAGATATGCGCCTCATTTTGCTTTAAACACTGTTTTTGATTTTCTGCTCTTAAACAGTGCTGACCGTGGCAAAGACAAAGGTCTCATTCCATGAGAAGCGCAGCTCGAGATATGTCATGTCAGACATCTTGCTGATCCAAATTGACAAGGTATACAAACGATGGCAAGAGTTAAAGCTTATGCTTAATAGATTTCATATCCATCCGCCATTTTTCCATTTTTCCATTATTTTAGAATATAAAGCAGATGAAGAAGTTGGATGCTATGCCGACGGATCAAAGACTCATTTGCTTAAGAACGTGGTTCAAGAGTTCAATTCAACTAACGGCGTTGAGCAGTGTGTGGCGTTCTGTTTTCGCGTCGGACAAGAACTGGCAGGTAAACGAAATGGCACTATTCAGATATGTCCGATTATTTTGCTGTGAAGAAGCATTATTCGTTATACTTTGAAAGGCAGCTAAACCTAGTGTACCTGTTATTTCATTCAAAATGCCCCATGATAGCAAACACAGCAAATATGGTTTCCTGGAGCCGTCGGTTGTTTTTTCGACATCTTCGATAATCAATTATTCGTAAATCGATATCTTCTGATGACCGTTAAAATGCCTGTAACTCATACAGTGATTAAACTTAAAATGACACATCAAACAATAGAATATTCTCGTCAGCTTCTTTTTTGGCGTTCATTTTAACTCATATAAGAATAGGTAAGAAGTCAAGAGCGATTGCAAGAATTAGAACTTAAATTAAATTCGATTAAGCAACCCAGCTGTGGATTTTATGATGTGACATTTTCGTCGCAGCATCATGTAAACAAGAGGAACGAAAACAGATTCTTATCGCATTGGACGTATTTGAATAATGCAAATAATGTATTTACACAAGATAACATGACGATGGCTGTTTAAATGTGATGTTAATTTATTAAATGAGGTTGAATAGAATTTGTTTTCCAGCATTTTATTTCCTAGAACCACGGAATGTTTCAATTTTTCTGTTCGATTAAACCTGAATCAAACCCTAAAAAATAGTTAATATTTTTGGGAAAGGAATATTCCAGAATTTTAACTAGTTTAAACTTCACCTTCGGTTTATCGCCTTAGCTGAATAAATGAAAATTCCGAGAAATATGTTTTAAATGCTGTTTAAATCGTTACTTTTGAATGTATAATCTTTCTGGCAGATAGATGATCGTGAGCCGTTACAATTTCAGGCTTGAAAGGCGGTAATCGGTGTTTTTGCGGCAAAAGGTCAGATCTACATAAGGTAAAAGCCGTCCAGCCCAGACATTGCCGCTTTTATCGTTGCCCGTCTAACGATACTGGAGGCTGCGGCTCAGAACAGCATATGCGGATATTCGACACTGGATACCAAAGTACGTGTCGCATTTTTTACTGCTGCTCGAACGGTATTTGAGCTCCCTTCGCGTTTGATGCATCTGGAACTATTTTATTCGTTAACTCATTTGTAGCGCATCAGGAACGATGTTTCACGAGCCGTGACTTCTTATAGGTCACCGCATACAGCAACACCGATACTACTCAAATACCGTTGATTCATGGGTTGCTTAAGTGCATCCATTAGGTAACTTCAAACTAGGGTGTGATGCAGAACGCCGTGAAATCCGGTTTTGGAGGAGATATATGCTGATTGAAGTTATGTTAAGTTGAAACTCCCCAGGGCTGTTCATAATATTGATTTTAATTACAAATCCTCTATTCGTTATCCGACTTGTCTTTTTTATGGGGCACCAATAATACAGGATGAAGCTCCACAAACATTCTGTTTTCCTTTCTGGGTCCACTTGTGGCGAAGTAAGTTGATCATCAGTCTTGGATGACCGACTCAACGTTGCTGGTCCAACAAAATGTTTACCGGTTGTCTCTCAGGCGAGCCACATAGCTGGTGTTTCTTCTCTTGGTGTCGTAAAAGACAGAAATAGCCAGTTGATCCATTTCGATGTCGAATTTATGCAGTCTAAACGTGATCCTGGAAGGATACTTTGCATATTTTTCGCTCCACCGCTATTTTCGTGACTATCAGCTTGTTCTCTTCGGATTTAGTAACAGGCAGGCATTCAGCACAGTAGATCATGGTGGCGGGTACCATGACAGAATCGAACAGTTCGTTCTTCTCCCACATAGACAGCTCACTGTTGAGTAACGAGGTTTTAATACGGTTAAACCTGAACAATACCACCTTCCTTTTTCGGCTGATTTCCCCATGTAGCGAGTTCGTACAGTTCACCGGACGGTATTCATTGCTGGTGATTTCTTCGAGTTCTTCGTCATTCGCGTAGATTCAAACTTTAGGGCAATTCTTGTTTCGTGTTCATTCTGTTTTGGGGTGGTTAATCTCCAGTCCGATGGTGAGCGATTTTTCCTGCAACTGCCTGACCTCATAATAGAGCTTAACTGTGTCTTGTGCGAAAACGATTTAGTCGTCCGCAAATAACAATTACAACTGCTCTCTATCAATATTGATTTCGCTGCGTTAGTTTAGCCAGTTGAAGAGTGATTCCAAGGCCGAAGCGAAGAGAGCTGATGAGGCGATGTCGCTTTGGTGTGCTTTTCGATAGATACTGATGCAGTATGGTTCGCTCAACAGCTCATTATCAGTCGTGCAGTCGGTGTTCAATTCCTCGATCAGGTTTAAGTAAACAAGTTTTATGCCATGTTCATGCAAGGCGTAAATTTTACGGAATCGAACGCCTTCTCGTAGTCGATGAATGCAAAGGATAGCTGCATTTGATTTTCTTTCAAGATATAATATCACAGCGCAGTGGAAACAGTACATCATTCCTGGTTATTATGCACTTCACGCAGCCGATCCAAGCTCGGTTCGCAAAGGCCTTCCTGAACAGCACTTGGTCATCTTTGTGCCATTGTAGAATAAGTTTGATAAATCTTCAGACATCGTATATTCCAATGAAGTTCTCGTTGATTTTGTCCGTTTTCATCAAATAGAGGACTGTAAATGGTCTGTCTATTGCCTTCTTGCATTCTGGCTAACATAACGCTTGATGACCCTCCGGTTTCGTTTACGAGTCGCGTCCTCTGGTTCACTGAGACGTAGGTGTTGTTCACACCGAGGTCAAGATTACGGACTCAAATACAATAATTTTCTCGGTTTCTGTTTATCTTTGTGCGTTTTTTGAAAGTAATTTTCTCCAGTTCATTCAGGGTACAAATCGTCCTGAGTTATTGGCAACATCTCTCTACCATCATCCAACTCAGTGGATTCAAGGAAGTAGAGCACTTTATGAAGTTTTGGTCGCGGAAAGGCATCGTTGGCTAGTGACGGCAACAAAACCGCCTGAATCTACCGGAGCGGACTTCTACACCATTTCCGGGGCCTCACTTAGCCTGAGCACGCCCTTTAATTACATCTGAACGACAGTATTTCTACTTACCAATGTCAGTCTTCACCAGTTCGAACCTTAGCAGCTTGGGGAGTTTCAATTTATGTTTGCATTTGCGACGGAGGAATTTATCAATTTATAGTTAATAATGCTTTTCATATCTTTTCTGATGTCGAAGCGCTGTGATAAAGGAAGTGCAACATGGGACTTCTCTCGTTTTAATTTTGTAGTTAAAATCAGAAACAAACAATTTGTAAGGCTGTGTTTGTCAGTCGTTTAACTAGCAAACTTGAGAATATATGTAGATCACGCAGATCCTGACTGATAATTTTGAAGTTCTCTTGATACCAATTTTTTGCCGTCCAAAGCTTTAATTAATCTTTTAAGACTCAGTGGATTTGATCCTGAATGTTCCTGATCTAGAGAATTCGTCAGTTTTCATGTAAGTTAGCACCATTCATTCATGGCTATAACCATTCTCAGTAATAACTAATCTATCCACTGATATCTTTTCATTTCACACATGCTCTGCGTTCTTACTATTAAATCTCTCCTGGAAATTGTGAAGCTGAGCTTATCGATGCGATGCTGTATTATTTTCTCAAGGTATGTATGTCGAATGTCAAAATTCAATTCGCCAATCTTTTTCACTGTACTGTATGTTTTCTGTATTTCATGCCTGAAACCCGTTGAAGTGATCTACGTACCTCCCGGAATGAAGTCTGTGAACAACATAAAAATCGCGTTTTTGTTACAGTTGAATGGCCGAAACGTCGGTCAAGTGCGAAGGATGATAAACATGATATATCGGCGGCGGCATCTTTACTACGTTCACGTCGACGTTGTAAGTTTTGTGCTTGTGAAATGGGCAGATATTCGAAAATTATCTGTTTCTTGCGAAAACTGTTTGATGCAGCCGCATGAATCTGTGTAAGATATGCTAATATTATTGTATAGAAAGTAATATATAACCCCAATAGCATGGAGTAGATACAAAGAATGGCAGCATTCCGATTCTGTCGCTGGCATATATAGTCTTTCAACTACTGCATATATTCATTGGGAACATTCATTTTGTTCCAGTCACAGCTATGATCGGACCCATTCCGACTCAGTGACGCAGTATTACGTTCTATGCATCGCAGGGATTTAAATATCATGGAGCCGTGACCTGTTTAAATGACTATGAGCAGTGGATAGTAAAATGCGTTTGAATGA